GGCCCCCACCATGTCACCCCCTCTCCCAGCCCTGGCCTGAGCCAGATGCCGGGCGCTGCGGTGGTCCAGGGTCCCCTCGTCCCCTCCCCGGCCCCCTCCCCGCAGCCAGCCTTGCCCATGCAGCCCCCAGCGCTGGTGCCGGGCTCCGGCAGCCTGCCGCAGAGACCCCCGCCCTCGCTGACACCGGGCACAGCCCCGCTCCCCCAGGGCCCTGGCGAGGCCCCCTTCCAGCGGCAGAGCTCCTCCACCGATGACCTGCTGTCCTCCAGCCCTGAGAGCCAGCACGGTGGCTCCAAGGCGGCTGTCGGCCAGCCCCTGCTGCAGCCCACCAAGGCAGACGCCAAGGATGGGCAGAAGCCCAAGGCGGTGCAGCTGATCGAGAACGATCCCTATGAGAAGCCGGAGCGAGTCCTGCGGCTGCTGGCGGAGCTCGACCGCTTCCGAGGGCTGGTGGAACAGCTGGAGCGACCAGGGCCTGGTGGCACCACCGAGCTGGACTCTGTCTGGAAGGAGCTGCAGGATGCCCAGGAGCGGGACGCCCGGCAGCTCTCCATCGCCATCGCCCGCTGCTACTCCATGAAGAACCGGCACCAGGACATCATGCCCTATGACAGGAACCGTGTCATCCTCCGCTCGGGCAAGGACGACTACATCAACGCCAGCAGGGTGGAGGACCTCTCGCCTTACTGCCCCACCATCATCGCTACCCAGGCCCCGCTGCTGGGCACCGCCGCCGACTTTTGGCTGATGATCTATGAGCAGAAGGTCTCCGTCGTCGTCATGCTGGTGTCGGAGCAGGAGCTGGACAAGGTAGACCCTTTCCCGGGCGCGCGTGGCTCCTGGAGCCGGCGTCCCTCGCCCCTCCTGGCACCCGTTGCACTCTCCCAGCATCACCGTGCGGCAGATCTGGGCCCTGACGGGGACCGGGAGGGTCCCATGGCTGCCCTGGGTGGGGTGGTTAAGGGGGCTGACGGCGCGCTCCCTTCCCTCCCCGCAGCAGAAGGTGCTGCGGTACTTTCCCCCCGAGCGGGGCCAGCCCGTGGTGCAGGGACCCATCACCCTCATCCTCACCAGCCTGAAAGTCGCCCCCACCCACGTGGAGAGGATGATCACGCTCCAGTACCGGGACCAGAGCCTCAAGCGCACCGTCGTCCACCTCCAGTTCACCTCCTGGCCGGAGCTGTATGGCACAGGGACAGGCTGGGGGGGGAGGGGGGGCACAATGTGGTGGTCCTGCAGCAGCTGGGGAGGGTGGGTGCCTGTGGGACCCTCCCCTGAACTGCTGGTGGGGGCCCTCAGGACTCCAGCCCCGGCATGGGGAGGGTCTTTGGGGCAGCGGTGACCCCTCCTGGGGGGGATGTTGAGAGCGGGACCCCCACCCCAAATGAGTGTGTGTCCCCTCCCCTCCACGCAGGGGCCTGCCCGACAGCAAGGGGAGTCTCCTCCGCTTCATCCAGGAGGTGCATGGCCACTACCTGCACCAGCGCCCGCTCCACACCCCTGTCGTCGTGCACTGCAGGTGAGCAGGGCTGGGGG